TCACTGCCCCTCCGTTTCCTCCAGCATCAGGACCTTCTCCAGGGACTTGGCTCACCTGATAACATGAGATGTGCTTTGAAGGCTTTTAAGGAGTATTCCAGTCGTATTTCTCCCAGGACAGATTTGTTTGTTTGTTTTTTGTCTGTCCACAGTACTTTCAAGATTCTTGGTCAGCACCACAATTCAAATGCATGGATTCTTCTCAGTCTTCTGTATGCAACGTCCAACTTTCACGTGCAGATGAGGCAACTGAAAATACTACGGTTAGGGTAAGTTGCACTGAAGTTCTCAATGGAACAACCTTTTCAACACTTTAAAGAGATCTTGTGCGGCAGGTTTACCCAAAACAGTGTCATTTTGTGATTGAATAATTTCACTCAGCAAGATGTCCTCTAGATTCATGCGTAACATGAAGTGTCTCACCAATTCATAGTTATTCTTTCATGCTGCATAGTGTTCCACTGTATATACGTACCAAAGTTCATTGAATCATTGTTCCACCAATGGACACCTGGGCTATCTCCCCCCTCGCCCCCCCCAGATTCTAAATAGAAATTTATTTGCTAATGAGAACCAAAGTTTGGTACATTTTTTTTAAAGTCCTTTTGGGGATCTCATTAGGGAGAAGTGGTGAGAAGGTGAGATTCTTCAATGAATGAGCGCTGCCCTGAAAGGAGGAGGGAGGGTCATAAAGAGAGAAGAGAAATCAAGGAAGTGGTAGGAGACAATGGGGGCATTGATGAAAAAATTAATTAAAATGAATAAATATTATATACAAATACTTTGTGCAGTCCCAGAAAATGGAAACATTTAGGAACATTTTTAATTCATTGGGAATTCTACTTTAAAAGATGTGAAAAACCGTCACGAGTTTACTAAGCTCCGACTCCAGGTCAAAGGGTTTTGCCCTGGCATGCTGACATATAAGTGGTTGGAAGGCCGTGGCTAGAGACGATTTATTTGGCACCTCTCTTCTTTTTTTCTTTCGTTTTCACTGGTGTTTCATTTAGCTCAGGTTCCGCTGCTGCCTCTTTGCCATTTCCGTGTTTTCTTTTTCCTTTTGGGGCAGGGCTCCAGGGTACAGTCCTGGTCGTCAGGTAGCTTCACCTGGCCCTCTCCATCCTCAGCCAATGTTTCAGAGTTCTCATCACAACCCGGGTCTCCGGGCTGCTGTCCAACTGTCCCTTCCTAGCTGGACACTTGGCTGTTCTTGTTCATGAGGGTTTTCTTTTTGTGTCTTTCTCTTCTTGTTTTTGAAGTTTTCTTTTTTTTTCCTGCTTGGTCGTGAGCTAGGTGTTGTTCTCCACATGTCTATCTTTGTTTCATTGTTTCGCTTCTTTCCCTCCTCCTATTTAATTCAGGCATCTGAATGATCATGATCTGAAGCCTGTGGCTTGTTCTTTAGCTCTGCCATCCACTTGATAACTATTCTTAGATGGCGAAGGTCGTTGTCAAGGACATTTCATTCTCCACTGGAGTCAGGGAACTGGATTCCCTGCTCATACTTGAACTATGGTGACCCTGTTAGAAGTCTTGCCCCGCTTCTGGCCTCAGGAGCCTTCTTGCTCCATCCTTTCCCCAAAATGCCATCAAGATCTGTTTTGCGATGAGATATAGATCCTTCCTTTTTAAAAATTTCATATAATGAACATTTTTGTGTGTTATTGAAATTTGGGGTTTGCTTCAAAGCTCAAGTATAGCTTCTTCCTGGTGTCTGAGAAGACTGCTGCTTCGTGGCCCTGACGTTTTCAGTTCAGTCAGAAGTTGCTTAAACTCATCTTGATGAGCATTCTAGTTGTTTTCCTTATTAATTGTCGCACCAAGTCCCAGGTTGTTATTTATAAGTTGAACTTGAATATGATCTGCGGCTCCTTGCTCTTAAACTCCTACTAAATTGTCCAGCCACATCAACATCAGTGCTGCAACTCCCCTCTGGGACAGACAAGGCGAGGGTCACAAGAGTCGCTCTCCAGACAGATGGCGCAGCCGAGGGGCACTTGCCGGCCTCACTTGTTTCCATTTTGTGTGCTATTGTGAATAGTGCTATTATGAACATGGGTATGCATGAATCTAAACACTAAGTTTTAAATGTCTAAATATCACATACACTTGGGTGAAAGGAGGGATGGAGTTTCCTTCAGAGGGAGTAGGGAAATCAGGGAAGGGAGGTGGTGAGAGAGAATAGGGATACTGATGAAAAAATTCATTAAAATAAACACTGTATATACATTTTTGGTACAGTCTCAGAAAATTTAAATGTGTAGAAATATTTTTAATTCAGATTTAATTGCTTTCAATAGTCTACTTTTCATGTCAGTTTTCCCACAAACCTAAACCAAACCAAACCTACTCCCCTGATTCAAATCCTACGAGTTTTTTCCGATAGTTTTTAAATTGTTCCTATTAGCTACCTCCTTGCTCTCTTATTGTAGAGCAATGGTTCTTAAATTTTGAAATACATTAGAATTATCTGGTATGCACATTTAAAATGCTAATCCCAGGCCTGCTTCCTAAGGCGTTCTAAATTATAGAATCCGGGAATATGTATTGCTGTGGCTTCAGATCATGTTGCGAGATCTTTTTCAAAATGATTATGGAGTAGAATATGAAATTTTTTTCAAAAAGACATCAAAGTATAAGAGAACAAAATGAGAATGTTTGAAGAGCTAAATGGGAAGCATCAGACTGCCAGCACATGTCCCTCATTATAAAATGATTCAAAACATTAGTGCTGTGACAATAATTTCCTAGGAGACAAAATTACTTTCTTTTCTGACTGTATACATTTTCCTAACTACTTCTTTCATTTTAACCAATCACGTTATGGTCTTTGAAAAGAAACGATGACATTTTATGACCACCATCTTACAACAGTAACTATAATTCTATAGCTTTAAGAGAGATAGGAGATATTTCTACATTGAAATAGTTCAGTCAAAAAATACATGAAGATATTATACATAATATATATCTATTGGAAAGATTGTTTATTAAGTAGATAAGTTCTTAGGAATTATTTTTATATCTTTTTGCAACTATTGACCTATTATAGCCAACTTCTTAAAAAGTAACCAACATTCAAGCAGTGAAATAAAGTCTTTAAGACACACTCTCATATTGTAACATTTCTTTTCTCATTAACAATAAAAGTAATACTGATGGCAATTAACTGGAAATTCAAAAATTCAGTAATGTGATACTCCAACTAAAGATCAGTGAGATAATTTAATCATTTCCAATTTACTACATAGAGCTATGTTTATGCCTAGTGAAAGTATTAGAAATGACTTAGATCACAGAAGCAATTTGATTGGTTAATGAAGAGTCTAAGAATGATAATTGAATTTGATGAAATTCATTAGTTCAGACAGTCAAGCAGATACTTTACAACTCCAATTATGTACTCTAACATATGTAGTAGTCATAATGTGATATAGGTATTTCACTTTTGAATTAGACATATGTATATGAAAGAATAAGAGATTGTATGGCACAAAAGAATATGACCCTGAAACAAATCCGGGTCCCCATTCCCACCCCACTCCCATTTAACACTCTTGCTAAAACATCATCTGTACAGCAGGGCACAAAACACAGAGGCAGATGCCACGACATATTCTTTTAGAATGCAAGACTGCCCAAGATCATCTCCAGATAATGAACCATGACAACTTTGGATTTGATGAAGTACAAAATGAGAATAGGAGAAAGCAAATGTTCTCCAAGAAAGCACCACTTCATAGGCATGAATGCCATCAATAGTTTCAAGATAGATGACAAATACTAATATTTCTTTTAATATCATAAAGCCATTTTTAAAGTAGACTATAGTTCTTCATTTTTCTGCCTAAATAATCCCTTTCCGTATCACATGGAAAGAGGGGGGGGGGATTTACCATCAATAAACTCTATTAAAAGTTTCTGTTATTCTCCTTCACATACCTTAATCAGACAGTTTCAGCACACTTTTCAGTAATGAAGCAGCTGTCAAGGAAGGGATAGGTCATCAAGCTGCAGTCCAGGGGCTCCTCACGCCACCACTGCTGCTAGTTGGTAGATATATTTTTTGTTTTCCCTTGAGAAAAAGAATAAGAAACCATGAAAATCATGACCTGTAGTAACTCTGCACTTGCCTTTACTATTGCCTGAGCATAACCTCCTGCTTCTGCAGACCATTCATTATGCACAACCTACTCTAGCTACCTCAATTCCTGGTTGTATTAGGTGCTCCAGGCTAAGAACCAATAGGTATGAGTTATGCTGACATTAAAAAAAAAAAGAGCAAGCATTCTAAAAAGCAACCTTTTCATATTTCTTCTAACGTCACCTGTTCAATGGCGTTGGCGTACAGAGGAAAAGTAGCAAGTGCCGCCACAGAGGGTACCCAGTGGAATTATCAACAGCAGGGAATTACCTCTAAGCAATTCACACTTTGTTTTGTTAACAAGACTCCAGGTAGGATACTGGAGTGCTATCCTTCGCAGGCAGTGTTCCCCACCTTTTTAGAATTATTGAAAAGCAAACTGAGTCTATTTTGATTTGTGAATCTTTTTTTGTAAGCTGCAGCAGCTTCAACAGTGCTAATAAAAAGGAAAGACATTGCTATTTACCGAGGAAGGACATTGAAATACTGCACATACAAAGACATCCCAGATGTAGCCGAGCTCTGTAAGCTATCCGAATACTTTCCTTTCCTCCCTGCCTTCTTTTATCTTGTGATTCTCTCACACTTGCCGGTTTCCTTTCTTTCTATTAATTTCTTCTTCCTTTTTTATTCTGTTTTATTTCCTACAGTTATAAAAGTATTATTCTGTTCTATATGAAAGAGATGAAGAACATACATTTATTTCGTATCTGACCACCAGTTTACTCTCTTATATTTGATATTTTAGAACAAGGGTTTTATAATATGATTATCTAAATAGTGTGTGAGTAAAGAAAGTAGCATAACTCATGAATGTAGAAACACTGGTAGGAACAGTTCACGTCCCCAGCTAAATCTTGCTGTGCCCATGAAGAATGGAGGCTGATTCCAGTGGCTCTGCTGTGAGTAAAGCCATGCTACTCCCTTTACAGTGGGGTTTTCAATTCTCAGGAGGAAGCTGACATGGCAACAACTGTTCTTTGAGGATTCAAATTTTCCGACTGTGAGACAAGTGAACACTTAATCCCCGATAGCTTTCATTATGTTTGGAGTAGAATTTTGTAGTTCCTTTGCAGTTTTTAAGCAGTCTTATTTTCTAATTAATGGATGAGCATCATTCTGGCATAAATCCACGTAGGAAGATCTGAGCATTTACAGGGTTTGGAAAAGCTTAATTCTTGGTTTAAAAGACTAGGTACTGTAAAACATAGCTTTATTCTTTTATTTGATGATACATTACATTTTTGCATGGTTGGGATGGACACAGGTTAGCGACATCCATCTCAGATGATTTGAATATTAATCACTTATTTATCAGCTGACAATTAATCCAATGAAGATTCACTGTTTGTCATAGGCTGATGTGTTTTTATCTTGTTGGCAAGGCCCCGAGAATAGAAAGATAGAGTTTTTTGCCTCTGAAAGTATTGAGACTGATAGTTCTCTGCTCCCGAGGCAGATAGGAAACAGCATATTATGATTGAGAAGTGCCATAAAGGAGATTTTAGATGTGCTAAACACTGAAGACCACTGAACAATGCCACGATAAAAGGAGAAAAGACTGAAGTTGTCAAGAATTTCATTTTGCTTGGATCCACAGTTAGTGCTTATGGAAGCAGCAGTCAAGAACTCAAACAGCATATTGCATGGGGCACAGCTGTTGCACTCAGCCTCTTTAAAGCGCTGAAGAACAAGAATGTCACTTTGAAGAAGACGGTGCAACCTGCCCCAAGCCAGGGTATATTCAATGTCCTTATAGGCATGTGAAAGGACAATGAATAAAGAAGACCGAAGAAGAAATGATGCATTTGAAGTACGGTGCTGGCAAAGAGTATTGACAGAACAGTGGTCTGCCAGAAAAACAAAATAATCTGTCTTGGAGGAAGTACAGCCAGAATGTTCCTTAGAAGGGAAGAAGACAACACTGTATCTCAAGGACTTTGGACATGGCCTCAGGAGTGACCAGTCCCTCAAAAATGCAATCATGTTCGGTAAAATAGAAGGTCAGTGGAAAAGAATACGCCCCTTCAAGAGATGGACTAACGCTGTGGCTGCAACGATGTCTCAAACAGAACAAGCTTGTGAGGCTGGAGCAAGATTGAGCAATGTTTTGTATTGTGCATGAGGTCTCTGTATCAGGACCAACAACAACAGATACCGAAGAATGATTCTTCTGGTCTTTAAGAATGATGGCAATGTCTTATTTTAAAATAAACCAAAAATGTGAAGAACACATGGATGTGCGTGCGTGCATGTGCACACGTGCATTCTTCAGAATATTAGCTATGAAGAGATCAAACAATGAAGTCCTGATCTACTGTAATTTGGGATTATGCCCTGGTTTTAAAAATTGTGGTTTTTCACAATGAAATCCCTTTTCTGATTCCAAGCATAAAGTAACATTTCCTGCCAGAAAGGGTTTTAAACTTTTCTCCAAATACTTCATCTGAAGTCATTTTGAAATTGTCTCCAAGATATCCCAAAAGTTATCTGATTCCTTAGAGGAAAGGTCACCAGAGTAGGAGTCTACCTATTAGAGAGGAGTCATGAGTTAGCAATAACACACCAATTCTGCAAGCCAAATAGCAAAGATTAAAAACCATCTGTCAGTGGGACTATGAGCCTACAAACAAGCACTAGACTTCCAGCAGCGTCTGGAGTCAGAACAGTGTGTAACAAAGATTAAAAAACACATGTGAAGCTAGAATTATTTACCCAGCCATGCTATAGAAAGAATATTACCAACGCCCACCAGAATCATGTGGCCATGCGCTGCATAAAACTACAGGTTGTGAATCAAAAACATTTTCGATGGAAATTCAGTCTTTGATTCTCTGAGAAATCCTTTGCTCAATAGCTATTCAGTCCCAGGCGGGGTGCAATACACTGAAGCACTCTGGCAAAAAGAAAAGCAGGTGCCTTCACCCCATCCTTTCACCCGGCCCAATGGGATAAATGATAAAAAGTCCCAGCACACACACAAAAAAAATGCAAACCATTATATAATTTATATTGTATTAAGTTCTAAAAGGACCTGAAAGTGAGAACAAGCAAACTTCTTTCAGAATTGGCTTTTCGGTGGAAATTACATTTAGGTTGAGCACACACAGGAAATGAGCCTTGGAAACCCTAAGAGACAGTTCTCCTCCCCCATATCAAGTTCCTGGGAGTTGGAATGAATTCTACCATATGGAGTTGGTGGTAGTGGTGGTGGGTCTGAGGGAAGGTATGAGGGCACATTTCTCATTACTTTTAGAATATTTTGTACCCATGCTCAAAATGAAATCTAGCATACTGATTCAATACACTAGTTTTCTGAACCCTGTTGGAGTATTCTGTTATCTGAATTTAGAAATGATGTGTTTTTTTATCATAATGCTCAGATCATCTGACATATTTATATTTGTGTGTTTCCTATTTACTTCTTCCTCTCTCTACCCGTATCCCTTGAAATATTTGTGAGGACTGGCACTTGTGCGGTTTAATTCGTTTCTGCATCAGTAGGGTCTAAACTAGCACTTACTATAGTAGTCTAGCTCAACAAAGACATCACATACGAGTAAATGACAGGTTATTTTAGAATAAGTAAGCATACAGATTAAGAAATTGTCTCCAAGAAATTAGCCATCGCTTAAGACTAATATTTCCTAAAAATTACTTTTAAGAAGGCCAGGTTTGCATGGTAACATGGATCGTGTTAAACTAATAGATGTGTGCTACTCATATTTCCCCAAGAAAAGAGTCTTCAGAGTTTTTGTAATTTATAGAAACAGTACAAATAAAAGCAGATAAATTGAAAATATGTTTAAAATAAGAGGAGGTTAAGTTGGAAGCAAATAATTTTGCCCTAATGTACTTCTCTTAGACTTTAAATATAATTATAGAGTAAGGCTTTATCATTTTCAGAAAATCTTGTGTTATTTTCGTAATCTCTTAATCCTTCAATTACTATAAGTTTAGAGATAAATACAGAGAATTGACTGTAATCCTTTGTTAGGTGATTTTATAAGAATATATTGTAAGCCAAATTAGGTATTATAATTTTATTGTATTAAGGGCTATAATGAATTTGGAAATTTTGTCTTTTTAAGCCTTAAAATGATTCTTTACCAATTATTTTCTTCCAATAACATATTTCCAAAAATTTCAGAACTTAAGAATTGCCCGGGGGGTTTAAGTGGAGAGAAAATGTTTTGAGAATAAGGAGGGCAATGAATGTACAAATGCGCTTTACACAATTGATGTATGTATGGATTGTGATAAGAGTTGTATAAGGCCCTAATAAAATGATTTAAAAAAAAGAATTGCCTTTACCTTGCTCCATAAATGCCCTCATGAAGGAAACATGTAAGCTAGGGGTGACGTGTGGAGAAGAAACTAGATGGTGCTCAGCTAATCCAAAAGAATATTGTCTGGGGTCTTAAATGCTTGTTTTCAAACCAGCAGCCACCTAAGTGAGATGTCAACTAAGGCCACACCAGAAGAAGCACACCAACATGAGTGATCCAAAAACTGTAACTAATATAATCCAAATCTGAAGGAGAGAATGGTACCAGAGCTGAAATTGTGAAATTCTGGTTTGTAGAAGGCTGGTTAACTGTGGAAGCCCAAAACACATTTTCAGAATCTACACATAGTACAAGCCTCCAATAATTCCCTCGGGCCATAAATGAGGGACTGGAATAGCCTTGTTATCAAACAGAGTACTGTAGAGACAGATACAGTAGATTAAAATGACCTGAATAGTTAAAACCTTATCACTTGATCGCCCTTTTTACATACCTTGAGCTTAATCTGGCTTTTAATATTTTCTGGTTAACTTTTGTTTGTTTCAAACTGAGGCTTATCTCTATTATATTTTGCTATTGGTGGTAGCTATCTTGACTCTCTGTTATGTATTTTCTATGTTTTTAGGTATATAAAAACAGGAA